TTTGAGGTTAAGTAAGGAATATTTGATATTGATCTCCTTGACATGATGCTGTATGGATCTCAGATGTGGATTTACAAAAATGTCTCAATCCTTGAACACATAGAAACAAAATTTATTACATATATAAAAAGCTGCACAGAAAGTGCATGCTTTCTTTGCACTGTTGGCTTATTCATTGCAATTGTAAAATGTGGGTTGAAACAGAAGAGTTCCCTCTCACCTGCCTTCTGCTTTTCCTAGGTAAACTTGGTGAGATGATGAAATTACATGAGCATTGTTTACTTCATATTTTCATTTTTATTATTTATTATTATTTATTAAAATGGGGAATATTAGCAACGCCTCCAAAATTAAGGGAGAAAGACTAATGTACAGTATTTATAGATTCCCTGAGAACTACATATTGATTTTGCCTTAGGAAACTACCAATAAGGGTTACCCATATATGAGGAAAGTGTTGTCTTCATTTCATCAGTATTTGCAAAAGCAGCATTTTCTTTTTTTCCCATAAAGAGAAATTAACCTCCAGTTCTCAAAAACCACAGATGAGGAAATGAACAGTCAGCTGCTTGAAGTACTTGATTGATTGAAAAGACAGGACAGAAATAAAATAAATGAATGAATCAAAGAATTAAGGCTTAATTAAACTAAATTGCCAAAAATGCTGTTGACCTGTTACAATGGCAGTTTCCTTCCCCCACTTTTCCCCCCTACTATAACGAGGAGACAGTATCTACTGCTTTCCCCCCAAAGCAAAATAAAGACCTCTCTTTATCTGTATTGGCAGGGTGTATAGAGTCCTTTCCATGCCCTTAGATCAGGGGTAGGCAACCTTGGCTCTTTTATGACTCGTGGACTTCAACTCCCAGAATTCCTCCGCCAGGCACACACATGTTATAGATAGTAAGAGCATTTTGTCTTTTTTGTGTCTTTGAACAGAAGAGGGAATGCATCCTGTACCATCCCAACCAATAAATAATGTTCTTCTGAAACACGCACACAAAATGGAGGTGGTGAAATTGGCAAATTGTCTTATTCCTCATGCTAAAGTATCTCAAACTACTTCACTTTGCTGCTTCAAATAAATAAATAAATAAATAAATAACAGAAATGGTCTCTTTAAATTACTGCTATTGGTTCATAAAATCTTTGCACTGAGAAAATAAGCTTGTCAGAGAAGAGGGCTTATATATAGCTTTCTCTACGGATGTTTTATTCAGAAATTTTATTTTTGGTTTGTCTCAGATAATAACAGAATGGAGGAAATTGTTGAGTTTTTGTGTATGAAAAAAAATTATCTATTGGGTCCAATGAAACTTTGGAGGAGAAATGTGAGACACATTAACACATTCAAAATGAAGAGCTCAATCACCATTAGTACAAAATAATGCTAGTGAATATTTTTTCACCTATTATTGTTGGATATTTGATAGATTAAAGAGAGAATAAGAGAGAGAATCACTTGGGATTGCAGCAGGGATTGCACTTTTGATATATAAAAATTAAAATGTATAAATTATTCTCCCTTTTTTAACCTTTGGAAAATACTATGAGACTGTGATTCTGGGGGCCACATGCTTTCTGAAAGCAATTAAGCTTACTGGTAACCTAGCTTTCTATTAACAGCTACAGGATTATAAATGAAGAATGCCATTTGACAGGAAGATAGGAGGCAGAATGCTAATCCTTGGCTCACCCACCATTTTTCCTTTGTATTCTGCCTCCCTCCTTCTCTATTGTGGCTGCAGTTCACACTAAATCATTTTTTTAAAAAACCTGACTTCCCAGCATGGTTTGCACATGATGCTACATTTTAAAGGTGGCTTCACATCAGATTCAGCCAAAACCATTTATTATGGAGTATAATCCATGCATTGCGAATTATAATGGAGAAAAAAAAATCTCATTAGGGAGAGTTTGCAAGGAAGTTTTATAGAATTGAGCACTCAACACTCAGTCTACTACCTTTTTACTTTAAAACAGTTTCTCTTGCTCTAAGTTTATACTGAACTTTTGTTGTACTCTCAATACTATTAGTAGTATTAGGTCCACCTACAAAGAACAGTTTTAAGAGTTGTTCTAGTCTAACTAAAAAAGGAGGAAATGTTGACAATGCCCAGATGGCTTTTGAAGCAGTGTCTCTGTGTGTGTTATGCTACTTAGTGAATGTTATGCTATCCTACTGTTTACTGACTTAGTATTTGACTTTGAAATTGTATACTATCAGGTAAAACTAACCAATGACAAGTACCACAGACTTGGAATTCTATGTGAAATGTACAAAGCCAGTAAATGGAGAAACTTATAGGTTCCAAATGCTGCTGAATTACAATTGCCAGCAATTCCATCCACTATAGATTCTGTTGAGCGATACTGTGAGTTATAGGTCAACAACATCTGGAAGGCCACCAATTTCTTACTCATGCATGAACCATTTAAGGAAATACAGTGTTCAGTATAAGGAGAGTAAATAGAAAACAAAGCAGTAAACATTGGAAAGAATCATGGCCCATATGCCAGGTTTTTCAACAATGTGAGTCACAAAGCAACTTTAATAAGAGTCCCACCATCTTCCTCAAGTTCACCCAATAATGCTTAAATAGCTAAGTCATTGTAGCTTCTCCTTAGCTGTACAACATCCTAACATTCTAAATTGCTCATAACTATCAGACACTTCGGTAGAAGAAGAAAAGAAAGAAGTGTTTAAACTATTTTCTGAGTAGATGTTGCTATTTCACTAATTTTTTTAAGTAAAAGCAAAAATATATTGGAAAATGTCAAGTTATTAATCCTGCCCTAGAACAAGAATGAGCAACATGTAGGTCCAATTTCCATCAGCTCCAAACAGCACAATCAATGGTGAAGGATAACGGGAATTGGTTCAACATCCAGCGAACTCTATCTCTGACTTATAGCTAGGTTATATGTACACCTAGCAAAGAAAATTGTTTGGTTCATTGATTAAGTTCTAGAATAGTGGAGAGAGAGGAAATAAAGAAAATAACACTTTCCATTTTGTGGCAGCAATAAAGAACAAAGAATGAGGGGTTGAATTCATTAGGTCCTCTCCTGTCCCTCTGACATAGTGCTTGTCCAATGTCATAGTCTCATAAACAAGTAAGCTAAAATCTGTTCAGTCAAGATCTTTGTACTGCTAAGCTTTTATAGTCTCATCCATATAAGTTCTTTGTCAGTCTAAAAATTAACTGATTCATAAATAGTTTGTCTGAAAACTAATCAAACCATTCAGTTTACTCTTGTCATCTGTTTTAAGGCACCACTAAAGAGTTGCTGTGATCTAATAGTTTTTTCACCCCAGTGAAGTCCAGATTTATCCTATTTGTTATTTACCTATATAACAATTTGTATCTCACTTTTCATTAAAACTAATCCCAGAATATTTAGGATCTACACAATTTAGGATATACACATTGTAAGATGAAAGTATTTCTTAACAACAATATATTGGAAAAAAATGACACCAGGTAGACATCATCCTTGCAGGAGAAAGTACATCGTGTCAACTTTCATATGGCATTGAATGTTGCCCGTTTAAAAATACTATACAGTATGTAATGTTGTGAGACATGTGCAACTATCTGGTGGTTATGAATGAAAAGATCACAATATTATTCAGACTTCTAAATCAGAGGTCCCCAATCTTTTGGGCACCAGGGACTGGTTATATGATGAGAGGTTTTTCTACAGACTGGAGGGAGTGTGGTTTTGTGTGCTGCCTGCATACCGCGGATGGGGCTTTGCTTGTTTGTACAGCCTGGTTGCTGGCATGCCGCGGCCCTCTACCGGTCCAGGGACTGGGAATTGGGGACCCCTGTTCTAAATGATAAACAGATTGTTTATAATATTGGAATATTAGAATTGAATAATTTCCAGAAGACATGAAAATAGGCTTTACCTTTTTTGAAACATGGAATGCTGATGTTTTAAGATCTTGTGGTGTCCGAATTGGCTTATGTCAGGGACTGTCTGATGAGGCAGGAAACCAAGCTGGAGTGAGCTGTTTGTTTATGAGCAATTGCCACCATGGCCAGATTGCCTAAGATGAACAACATTTTGATGTTTGCCAACTGCTGACTTCAGATCGCCGTTTCCATCAATTGAAGGAAATATTCCAAATATCAGACGTTTTGTTCCATCTGTGCCAAAAGGACTTTTTTTTTTCCTGAATGGCTTGCCTCTTTCAAGTTAAAGAAAGCTATTTCAACTCTTGGGAGAAAAAAATGTGGATTTTAAGTTGATATTCATATGTCTGTTTGTGAGTGTGTCAATGTGCGTGCGTCTCTGTGTTTCACTTGTCAGTGGTTTTGAGGCTCTAATCCAAGGCAAGATTCCAGGCCATTAGCTTATGTACACAAAATGCCCAGATTCACAATTCTTTTGGATGTCATAGAATGCAGGGGATTCTCAAAGCATCAGTAGCTTGTAGTCCTTCCCTGTCTGTATTTCAGTGTAAAATGCAAATATTTCTTTAGTAATAGGCAGATAGGATTAATTAGGCCAGTATTAGGCAAGTAAGATTAATTAGGAATTGTCTCAATGTCGCCAAACATTTTTATGCATTGTTCATTTAAAAAAATGCAAAAGTTAAGCTTGGCTCATCATGCTGGCGTATATACTGCGCTGGTGCCATGAACAGAGTGATTATTGTATTGTCTTCTTGGGCTTACTGTTTGTGTCAATATTAAATGATTTTTGTGTATAAGCAGCAAAATAGCAGACTTTTCAACAGTTGGTTCTGTTGAAGTCTGGCTGAAAATATATAGAAGTTCGCTTCACATCCCAAGTCAGAGAATAACCTCTAGCAGAAATTGGGCTCAGCTCATAATATACACTTGCTTTACATGTTATCTATATTAGGTTTCAATGTCTGAATGGCACTAATACAATTATAAACACTTCCTCAGGGTAACAGAAGTAACACACCCAATCCAGTAAAGGCTCAAGCTGGCATTTTTTGTTTGTTTGTTTGTTTTTTGCAGAGGAAGAGGCACCAGATCTGGGCTACAAAAACCAGGACGATGACCAGCAGATGACAAAAGAGAGACACAAAAGCTACCCAGGTTGGGAATTTTGCAAACCAGATCTCGAGGATTCACTTCAAGAGAGATTCACACAACGTACAAGGCTTCTAATCAATGTGGCAATTGCTTTGTTCTGCTTGGCCATAGAAATCTCTGGGCATGGTTCTATGTGCTGCACACGGAGAAGGCAGCTGTTCACAAGGTGGGTAAGCTTCAGAGAAGCAGATGACCTAAGCCCCTAATAATTGCCTACATTTGATAACTGCAAACTTTGGAATCAGCACTAGTGTATAGTTGCCCATCAATTTGGAATCTACCCATAAGAGACTTTTGTATCTTGCAAATGTTACAATCCTCCCCCATTCTCTCTAAAATCGTACAGTAAAGCTTCTCTAATGGGTGCCCCAGGGCTCTGTTCTGGGCCCAGTACTCTTCAACATCTTCATCAACGATTTGGATGAAGGGATAGATGGGGAACTCATCAAATTTGCAGATGACACCAAGCTGGCAGGAATAGCCAACACTCCAGAAGACAGGCTTAAGATACAGAAGGATCTGACAGACTTGAACACTGGGCACTAACTAACAAAATGAAATTCAATGGTGAAAAAAGCAAGGTTCTACATTTAGGCAAGAAAAAACAAATGCACAAGTACAGCATAGGTGGCACCATGCTCAATAGTAGTAACTGTGAGAGGGACCTCGGAGTCCTAGTAGACAATCACTTAAATATGAGCCGGCAGTGTGCGGCAGCTGCCAAAAAGGCCAACACAGTGCTAGGCTGCATTAACAGAGGGATAGAATCAAGATCACGTGAAGTATTAATACCACTCTTCAATGCCTTGGTAAGGCCACACTTGGAATACTGCATCCAGTTTTGGTCACCACGATGCAAAAAAGATGTTGAGACTCGAGAAAGAGTACAGAGAAGAGCAACAAAAATGATTAGGGGACTGGAGGCTAAAACATATAAGGAACGGTTGCTAGAATTGGGTATGTCTAGTTTAACGAAGAGAAGGACAAGGGGGGACATGATAGCAGTATTCCAATATCTCAGGGGCTGCCATAAAGAAGAGGGAATCAAGCTATTTTCCAAAGCACCTGAAGGCAGGACAAGAAGCAACGGGTGGAAACTAATCAAGGAGAGAAGCAACCTAGAACTAAGGAGAGACTTCCTGACAGTGAGAACAATTAATCAGTGGAACAGCTTGCCTCCAGAAGCAGTAAATGCTCCAACACTGGAAGTTTTTAAGAAGAGACTGGACAGCCATTTGTCCGAAATGGTGTAGGGTTTCCTGCCCGAGCAGGGGGTTGGACTAGATGACCTCCAAGGTTCCTTCCAACTTTACTTTACTACTACTACTAAATTATGGTAATCAGGTGAGAGGGACTATCTCTGCAAACCTTCTGATTTTCTTGAAAATTCTAATCCACATACCCCCATAGTGAATAACAACCAGGAGGCTGCACATTGCTGATTCCTGTTGGGGGGAGGGAGCAATCATCACATAGTTTAAAAGGTCCCCATTTGGTTGAATTCCAGGTAAGGATGAAAAAGCACTTAAGAGTTCCAAGAATAAGACTGCATTGCTGAAATTCATCTTCAATTTAAGCCAGTGTGATATAATTAATGGTCACAGTAGCAGTCCCAGACAGGGAAGAACTATGTTGAGAGTCATCCTTCCCCATGGAATATCACCTGGTGATTTGGGGCTAATTGTTGCCCCTTAGCTCAGCCTCCCTCACAGGATTGCTGAGGGGGAAAATTGGAGGAAACAATGCTATGTGAACTGCCTTAATCTATTGCAGAAAAGACAGGATATTACTCTAACAATTACTCTCTTTCAACACCGCCTTTGCCTTATGTTTTCTTGAAAAAATTAATAACTAGGTTACACTTCTGTTGGATCTAGCATACAAGTTTTGCTTTTTATATTCCCCAAGCTTTGGCTAGCCAAAAAAAGAAAAGAGAAGAAAAAGAGGGCGAGGGAATAAATGAGTGCAGGCCTATCTCTGTAGAATTGTCTCGCCCCTGGAGGCCCAGACAACATACAAGGATACACATATATTAAAGTTCAGAATCAGAATGTATACAAGGCCTCTGGTGCTGCAGACCAGCAAGTTGGCTGGGAAATTCTGGGAGTTGGTCCACACATCTGAAAGTTACCAAGATTGAGAATCTCTGCTATAGTAAGGTGACCAACCGTCCTCCTTTAGGGAGGACAGTCCTCCTTTTGTAAGTTCTGTCCTCCCTCAAAAAGTGTCCTCCTTCATGTCCTCCTTTTTGATATTTGAAGACTAATCTGCAGGGCTTTTTTTTTCTGCTCATAGAACGCTCAGAATGGCGTTCCGGCACCTTTTTTTGATGGGTTTTGTTTTCAACTTTTGCATGAGCTGTGCTACTCCCCCTATTGGCTTTCGAAAACCAATAGGAATTGCTGCTGATCGTGCCAAAACACCTGGCTGGCAAACTTTGCACATGCAAGTATTATTATTGTTGCAATGAATAAAATGTTTCTTTTATTTATGATATTTTTTCTTCAATTTATTTGTGTCCTCCTTTTCATTGTAAAAAATGAAAAAAACCTTAGCTATAGACTCTCCTGAGTTGGACAAGCCATGTCCCATTTTCCCCCAAAGGCAGGGGTGGGCAATTCCTGAGCCAGCATGAGTTGAAGTCCACAGGTTGTAAAGGGGCCATAGATGTCCACCCCTGCCCTAAGGCTTCATTCTCACAGCACTCCCTGTTCTTTGTTTTAAATATAGGATTACGAATGAGTTCTGTTCCCAATTCCATATTTTACCTCAAATTTGTATGTAGTTAGGAACTCATATTTACCAACAGACCGCCTATTACTAAAAATGGTGGATGGCATTTAGCATTGTTGTAAAGCCACACAATGTTTTCCAGAAGCACTGAAAACTGGCTGTATATTAAAAACAGACGGCTTCACCTGATTCCTGGACATATTGTGCAGCTTCAGTGGTTCATCAGTTTTGAGGAAGGAGAATGCCGTCTGCCATTTTTAGTAATACTCTAGACCAGTGTTTCTCAACCTTGACAATTTTAAGGCATGTGGACTTCAACTCCCAGAATTCCACAGCCAGCATTGCTGGCTGTGGAATTCTGGGAGTTGAAGTCCACATGCCTTACAATTGTTAAGGTTGAGAAACACTGCTCTAGACAGATCATTTGTGTCTAGGGGTTGCCCTCAAGTCAGACATTGTTAACCTGGGGACTGCCTATAGTGCCAATACAGTCTTTCTCTAGTTTTAAAATCAGGTCATCCTACACTGTTCACAGATTCGTGTATAATATTGTGTTCAATTCCTGGGGTAGGAGCTAGCTAGATAGGTAGCTAATGGCAATGCCCTCCTTTCTCTTGCGATGGTCCAGTTATTCACAGCTCAGAACATCAGACAAAGGATTTTTTAAAATCTTTTTTTCCTCTCTTTCCTTTTTTGGGAATGGTTTGATAAATACATTTGCCGTCTGCAGCTATTTTTCGACAAGTTTGCAAAACCTCCTTCAGGCACTCTGAGCTGGTGAACTGTTTCTTTTGATTTTTAACCAGGTGATGGGAACCCTTGACTTTCACTTTGGCCTGTGTAATGGAATGATGGGCAGGGTTGTCGATGTACAAATCAGGAGAACAGTGGATTTTAAAAAGAGCAAATATCAAAGCCAGACAGATCTCATGCTCGCCCATGCTTTCCTCTTCAAATATAAATGCTTTTAAGTAGCAGCTTCTCTTTTATTATGATATTTTATTTTCCTGCTGCATTGATTCCCTGCCCACACACACACATTTTTTTATTGTTATTCCTTTTCTTTAACCTTGGAATCCTCAGAAACCTTAGGAGAAAAGGGGATAACCTTTCCTTTTGATTCTTGTGAAAAAACAGTGTAAGAGTGTGAGTCCATGGGTGGCAATAATTCAACGAATCCTTTTTGATTGTGTACAGTGGGCTACTGTGATATCTCTCTTGCTGTAAGAATGTCTTCATCATCACAAGTTATTATTTTTCAAATAGTGTCTGGGTTCACACATCCGGCTAAGCCATAAATCATACATACCCAAATGGCTCACACTTAAACAATATGCTAAGCTAATACCAAAGCCTTAGACCAGTTATAGCGAACCTTTTTGAGACCGAGTGCCCAAATTGCAACCCAAAACCCACTTATTTATCACAAAATGTCAGGGCTGCATCAACATTGTGGTGCCCTCAGGGGGGGTGAGGAGAGCGTGGCCCACTGGGTGGGCATGGCTGCAGTGGTCACGGCAGACTGGGTGAGCATGGCTGGGGCCAGTCCCTTGCCATCTCTGGGGCATCCGCTTGCTCGCTCACTTCCTGCCCTGTTGCTTACAACGCCACGTGCTCACTACTCGGGCAAATTCTGCTGGGGCAACGGCATGCGTGCCCACAGGTTCCATAGGTTCGCCACCACTGCCTTAGATGATCTCCTTTTTATTACAGAAAACTACCTGGCACAGAATTCAAGATACTACCTGATCTGTTTTCATTTCCCTTGGTCAAAGTAAGGACTATAATTTTAGAGGGAGAAGCTGAGATTGATATTTTTTTCCTCTTCCCTCCTCATCTCTTTTCCTTATGTGTCACCTTTTTAATATTGTTACTGCAGAATCCAATCTGGGTCGATCATTGGGATCAGAGGTTTTTTTTATTCTGGAGCTTTTGGATTTATGCTGGAGCCCATTTAGCAGAAAGATGTTCCCTGAAGATGGGCTCCATCATGAGTCCAAAAGCTCCAGAATAAAAAAACCTCTGGTCCTGGTGACCGACCCAGATTGGATCCTGCAACATTATCCTGGGACACATATATTCGCCTTCATTTGTGATTATTATTATTATTACTTAAAGCTGGAGATAAGGGATTGTGTTGTTACTTATATCTACAAAACAGCTGGGAGCATGTTTGGACCAAGTATGAAATAAAATGCATCAAATAAATAATAAATGACTTTTACATTGAAATTTTCTGTATTATGGCAAACAGAGATTTTTTTGTGAGAAATTTGTAAGTATAGACCAGTGGTGGCGAACCTATGGCACGGCTGCCAGAAGTGGCACTCTAAGCCCTCTCTGTGGGCACACACACCATCTCCCAACCTCTTCCCACCACCCCCTCCTCACCAGCAGCCCCCCAGAGGAGAATCGCCCCTGGGCACGGCCCACACAAAGCAGCGCAGCCAAGGACATGGTAGCCAGGCAGGGACAAGACTCCACCCTTGCGCCCCGTTGCACGCAGATGATGCTGCGGGGCAAGGGTGGAGGGCATGGCTGCCATGATGCTGGGCTGCCTGAGTGATCTGTGGTGGGCCGTGTGGAGGCGGTGGGTGGCCCAGTGGGCAGGGCAGAGCGGGGACAGGGGAGCAGTTTTTGGGCACTCGGTCTCTAAAAGGTTCACCATCACTAGTATAGACAATCAATTGGAATCAGGGTATAAACATGTTACATATATAAAGCACTCCAGTTTGTTCCTGGAACCTTATATGTAATTTACCTCATGGACTGTGGAAACAGTATAGGGGAGATTTAAATTATTGTTTTCTATATTAGCTGATGGCAATTTGGAAAAGCCTCCTAAGATGTTCCCTGCCACCACTCTCCTTAATTAATTAATTAAAACCAAGCACAGGACTCAGAGACACAAGAAGAGTCCATCCAGCCTGTTATTAGCTCCCTCTTTAACAAATTCTTCTCATACAAGAAGTGTCTTCTTAGTTACCATCATCAGAATGACTGTGAAAGGCAATGAAAATAGATGGAGCCATGTATGCTAAAAGAAGATTGCATTTCTGAAAAGAAAGGAGGGAGGAAAACGCACACACACACACACACACACACACATACACAGATGCTGAGGGGAAAAATAGCTATTATACACACTTCAATGCTCAGTAAAATCATGAGAAAATGGGAGTTTTTGAAGCTTCTCCTCCACAATGTACACAACATAATCATTAAAATGACCGTTTGGAAAAGAAAATGGAAATGAGCTTCATGGCTGATATTATTTATATAGCTGCATTAGTAATGCTAGACTTGCTCTTCAAGGCACCAGCCAACTTTCTTTCTTTCTTTCTTTCTTTCTTTCTTTCTTTCTTTCTTTCTTTCTTTCTTTCTTTCTTTCTTTCTTTCTTTCTTTCCTTCCTTCCTTCCTTCCTTCCTTCCTTCCCTCCACATTGTTTCTGCATGCATGCTTATAAAAGAAGAGGCGATATTATTATTCCTCACTCCAGAGGTCAGCATTATGACAACCATGGCATTGGTGGACCCATTGTCACTGGTTTTAGTACCTGCCAAGTAGTCTGCCCAAAACTGACCTTTCAAAAGTGTATTTAACAGAATCATACATAAGTAAGCATAAGTAGCTATGCTAGAAAGCAAAATACCAGTCTACAGCATTATCTTTATTTACAAGAATGCTCCTGGGCCACAAGTGACCACATATATTCTTAGAACATTGTAGAGCAGTGTTTCTCAACCTTGACAATTTTAAGGCATGTGGACTTCAACTCCCAGAATTCCACAGCCAGCATTGCTGGCTGTGGAATTCTGGGCGTTGAAGTCCACATGCCTTAAAATTGTCAAGGTTGAGAAACATTGTTGTAGAGTATATGAGTTAGAAGGGACCTCTAGGGTCATCTAGTTCAATCCCCCATTCAATGGCAGAAGCCACTAAATCACCCCTCCCAATCATTCTTGTAGGCAGATTGGTTCACTTTTAACCTTTCTAGCTCTCAGAAAGGTTCAGAGCTGGTTTGGATTGGAGCAGCCTAAAAGCCTTTTAAGTAAGTAAAGAAACATATTCCTCTGATATTTAGTTTGGTATTTTCATTTTATTAGACTTTGTATTCTTGGGTTTATTAGAAAATAGATCTGCTGCTCCTGCACATTCATACATCTTTTAGACTACTATCGTATTACCCCCTAGTCTGCTCTGCAAACTAAAAACCAGTCCTTGTAGGTGTTCAGCATTTAGCTTATATTTATTTCCTTAAACCTGTTCAGCTGCTTTATTCTAGTAGTTGCAAATCTACTAGACCAATGTTTAGTCTACATTTATCAATTTGTCTATAAAGATGTTATGACAAAACCTGTCAAAGGCTTTTACTAAGAACAGCATGTACCGCCTTCATCTGCCAGACCACTCAGGGTCATGGAAAGTGATAAAAATGGTTTTACAGGACTTGTTCTTGATAAAGCCATGCTGATGCCTGATAACGGAGCAATTATTATTAGTACTCACTGTCACATTGCTTGACAATATGTTCTAAAACCTTGGCTAGAATTCTACAGTTTAATTGGGCTGAGTTTCTCCAGGCCCTTCCTCTTCCTTCATCCTGAATATTTAAATCATGCTCCTTTCCAGTCTTCCAGCACCTTCTTTTGGACTTTTCAGAGATTATGGTTATGAATTTGGGGATCACTTCTTCCAACTCTTTCAATATCTTGGGATATACAGTGCTTTGTCTTTCTCTTTCAAATTACAAGAGGAGTTCTTTTTATACTTTTACCAGTCCTGATGGCCATTTTCTCCTTTTCCTTAGTCATGTTTACCTTTTTCTGAGAAGACAGATGCAAAGAAAGTATAAAAGAATTTTCCTTATTAATTTCTCTTTTCTCTTGTGCAGTAGACCCCTAGCCCTGTAGCCTCATTTATTTTTGTATGTGCACCAATCTCTAACTCTAAAAATTTTATTATATTTTGCCTTTCTAAAATGCAGCCAGATAGTCAAACATATCACCAATAGTTCTGGTAGTATAGAATCCTATTAACTTGGATCATTTTTTTTCACGTTTTGTGGACCAGTTCCCACCCATTTTCTCCAGGACCTTATATGTACTATCCCTTGCATAAGAGGATATTGGGAAGGCTTTTTGAAATCATTAGCCCCTTCCATGTTGGCCAGAGAGGCAACAATATGTACTCCTTGCTTGGTCCTGGCAGCCATTAACTGTTTGGGAGATGAGCTGGGCTGGCTGGAACACTGAGCAAGTGCAGAATACTGTTACATTTACAAATCACATTAAAACATTGTACCGGCCAGGTCTGATGAACTAATATAGAATGAGCTTCCACCTCTGTGATAGCTCAAATGATTGCAGATCTCTGATGTCCATAGTAAACAGGACCTTTCTTGATGGTATCTATTTATGGAATAATTACAAAGAAAAAAAAATGTGTCGTTTCCAGTTTCTGAACTCACTTCCAAAGCTGACAGCTCGTGACGAAAAATGAGAACCAAACTATGACATCACTGCAAGCTGTTTTCAACCAAAACATCAGGAGGAAAAGTCAATGCAACAAGAGGAAGCATCTCCATGTTTCTCAAACATCCAGTTCTACTTATTAAAGTCCATAGTTCAAGAGCCACAAGGCACACAAAATGGAAATGAGAGCGCTTGAAGAGGCAAAGAGACATGGATTTCAATGTAGTCCAGTAAACGTTGTGTGTTGAGTGATCAGAAACGAAGAAGTATGCCTTCAGGAGTTTGTTTGTAGCTACACATTATTCCAAGTGTATTATAGCTGAAATGACATTTTGTCAAAGTTCAGCATCTGAATTTCAAAATAAATGTCCAGACAGCAATATTGAAAACCTTGGTGAAAGTGAGGCAGGCTGAGGAGAATCAATAAATCCTGAATACAACATTTATTTAAATGTGCAAATATGATACAACCTTGTGCAAATATGTTACAGTTAGTAAAATAGTTTTAGCTCTTTTTCTTATCTCCTGAGTTTCCTTTCTTTGCTTTGTTATTTTTAATAATACTTGTTGAGTTTTATGTAGTGTTGAAATACTTTGATGAGTACATAGTTAGGATTAATATATGCAGATATATATCATAGACTCTAATGTTGTTTGGGTTGTACATTTTGGTTGTTCAAGCTTCAGATAAGCTTTTCTGAATTGTTACCTCTTTAGGCCTTAGATTAGCTGTTTAGCCTTAGAGGTAAGCTGCTAAGATTCATTTTTCAAGGCTAAATCTGCTTTAAAAAATTAAATTTATTGATTTTTTTAAATACAAAGAAATACAGAAAAGGGGTGTTATACAAAAACCCAACAAATTAATTAATTGTGGAACTATAATAACAAAACAAACAAAAAGGAAATAAAAGAATAAGAGAGAACAAGCAAACAAATTTTTTAAAAAAACAAACACCAAAAGTTAACATATTAAATTTCTATAAAACATATCACATATTCATTCAATCGTTCAATTACTATGTATCAAATTATGTATAAACATATCTATGCTTGTAAGATGTTTTGAAATCTAAGCCAAAGCAAAATATACTATCATTTTTCCCAATTAGTAGGAAAAATGCCTTTTCATAAAATGGATGTTAAACATTTCTTGAATTCTCTCAAAATTACTTATGCTATAACTGCTATAATCTATGAGCTCAAAGACACAGCCTCTTTGCTGTTCTTTCCTGGACAAACAGGAAGGAATCAAGTCAGCATAATTCAAAATGCATTTATAGAGTATGCCCTTAGAAAACATCTGGAATAGAGTCATGCTGTGCTGTGTCCTCTATAACTCCTCTATGGAACACTGGTTCCTTAGGGCAGTAATGGGCAGTTTTCTATGGTTGAAATTCAAATGTCATCAACTGTAGGAAAATCCATCATGAACCAATCTACTGAAGGTATACCAAAATAATACTTACAAGGTCCAGGTGCTCCATCCAATTTCCCCCCCCCCCAAAGGGACTGCTGACTTGTTGACTTAAGAACCACCAGATGGCAACAAAGAATTCACATCTCTTAATTGCAACCTAAGTGATTCCTGGGATTTGTGCAACCAGATTGGGGCATTGCATAAGTATTTTTAAAGCCAGAATTCAAGAAAGTTGTCACGGTCCAGGACTCAGACTCTGATGAAGCTGCTCCAGCCAAACCCTGAAATGTCAGCCTCAAGAGACTCCAAGCCAAGAGTCACTTGAGGCTGATCAAACACAGGCACTAATGGAGCAGCTGGACAGTCAGATGATGACAAACTACCTCTGCTTGGAACTAGATGGAGAATTGAATAAAGAAGCTCAGTGAGGCACTTTGCCAAGCAAGGGAGCAATCCTCTTGATTAAATACAGCTGTCTGCAGATTGATTGAAGAAACAGCCATGTCCCATCTGATCTTCTGTTCTGGTGTATCATTCTTGTGAGTCATGCTCATGTAACTCTGACCTAGAACTGGTCGACAAGCTTAATATGGATCTCCAAATTTGGTCTGGATTTTGACTACTCTTCTGTTTTGAAGACAAAAATCCCTCAGGTAAGCTGAGAAACTTTGTTGATTTACATTTCTTCCTTCTGCTGATAACCGCTGGGCCTTGAGTAAATTGCTTTCCTCACCTGACAACTGTGAGTGTGTGAGGTTGACAGGAGGGGAGTGTCAGTGCATGTTAGAGATTGACAGAGCTGTGAGGTGTTTTTCATATAGCCATATTATTTTTTTTTCAAAATGATTACCTGTGGATCTATGACAGCATGTCAAACTGCCGGCCCATGGGCCGGATGCGTCATGGTGAAACCACGCCCACACCATTGCCGGCAATGGAAAAAAAGTCATGCTACATCACGATATGTCACATGACGTTGCGAGTTTGACACCCCTGATCTATGACACTAGATGGCATCCAAAGAGATTGTTAATCACTCCTGGCTACCATCTAGTTGTCTTCCAAATTTGGGCAGCTAAAATTCAGCCACTGAATAAATGTTGTATACAATTGTATTAAGAATCTTTATTACATTGGTAAAATTCTAATACAAATTAAACTTAAAAGTGAACAGAGAAGATTAAGAATGCAAGGAAAAAGAAATGGAAGAATATTATAAAGAAAATGAAAAGTAATATATAAAGAAGCATCTTCCAGGATAAAGGAAGGATAAAGGAAGGAAGATAAAACTGAATACAAACCAATATAAAGGAAGAAAAAGAAAAAAGTCAAAGAAAGCAAAAAGAAAAATAAAACAAAATAAAAAAGAAAGAAAGCAGATACAAAGAAATGGTTTCTGATTTTTCTTTACAGTAGTTATAAGTACAATTATAAATTTACCTCTTATTGTACGGTTACAACATAATTTTCTTTTTTCTATAATTTATCCTATCTAAAGATCAAAACCATAAAATGTATGTTTGAGGCTTTTTGTTTTCTACAAAAAGTCTACAAGGGATTTCCAAGCATCAATAAACATAAATATTGTCTTTTTCCTGATCAAAGAAGTCAATTTAACTATCTCAGCAAGTTCCACCATCTTCAGCAAACCATTCCTCTGTTGTGGGTTATGCCGAATCTTTCCATTTTTGTGCATTTTACTGCAGTTATCATATACAAAAGCAAAGTTATATGACTTTTTTCCAACTTTTGGTCCATCAATCCCAAAAGGAATGCCTCTCTTCTTTCTTTAGAGTTCTCTAAATCAGTGTGTGTATTTGAATCCAAAATTTTCTAGCTTTTTATATGCTTATCAAGCATGATAAAATATTCCATCTTGTTATATTCAGTTTCCAACATAAATTTTTGAGTGCCTTTATACATTCTAGCCAATTTTTCGGATGATATATACATACCAACAGTTCATCATTTTATAAAAACTCTCATTAAGATTATAAAATAGTGTAAGTTTCAATCCTTTCAACCATATTTTCTCATGTTTCCATACTATAATCAAAATTTTAGCCTATTATATCATACATTCTTTCACTTCTGACTCGTATTTCAATAAAGGTTTATATATTTTAGAAATATGTTAATTATTTTTACACAATTCTGTTTCAGACTCAGTCTTGCAATGTTAAACCATAAACTCTTTTGTCTAATTTAAATAAATGTAAATAAGAAAACTGCTGACAACTAGATCCCTCTGCCATCACTTCTTCTCTTGATTTTATTTTCCGTTCCCTTGACAAAATTCTAGTACCTCATAATGTATTAGCCATTTGCGTTTGCTTATTGTTCAATAAATACTTCTTGTACTGAAATTCACAAAGGTGTTTTCAGGCACAACCTGAGTTTGTACTTATTCCATATTTTCAATATGGAATAATCTAACACTGATTTTTAAATTCACATTAATCTTGATTTTGTCATACCAGATACCAAATGCTATTCAATTCTCAGGTATTGTCCTTCTAACAACAAAAGCTTTCTATTTTTGAGCCTAACCAAACAGCAAGCTGCAAAATACAATTTCAAATCAGGTAAATACAGTCCTCCTCTTTCCTTTGAATCATGTAACACCTTGTATTTAATTTGTGTTTTTCCCCCCCAGGCCACAAAAATTTAGATACACTCTTCTGCTATTGTTTAAATGGAGCATTAGTTGCCAAAATAGGCATTGTCTGGAATAAAAACATCATTCTAGGCATGACATTCATTTTTATCACAGAAAGTCTCCCCAGTGGTGACAGTTGTACTTTTTCCTATCTTAATTTGTCTTTTTTTAAACTTTATTCCATGTCTTAAAATAAGTATTTTGAAATAACATATAGTTCATCTTTGTCATAGTGATACCCAGATACTTTTCCTTCTCATTAATATTCCATATTATGCATTTGTAATAAATAAGCCAATTTTTTTTTTAAATATTTATCTGTAACACCTCATTCAGTACCATCCTTTTCAGTTTCCTGTTCTAATGTTTGACATTTTTGAGTACTCTCCACTGACACCTCCATTTGAATCTCCTCCAATTCTTTTGAATTCTTTCTAGAAATTCTCTTGCTTTCTGGACAGAATTCAGTCAAAATCTCTGTCATTTGAAAGTAAAAATCATACTTTCCAATTTTTGCCTTGGAAGTGGAATCTTTGTCTGTTTTAACATCTGTAAAAAAAAATAATTCTCTTTTCTCTGAGGCAAAATTGTAATAGGAATCTCTTTAAGAACAATTACATCTGTGTTATCAATTTTCACACTTTTATTAAATGCTGCTCCTGAAGTAAAAGATCCCTTGTCTTTCCACTGACAAAGTGCACCAAACATCCCTTGTATTCTTGCAAATCTTGTATTTATTCTATGTACTTTGTTAATTGTTGCCTTTGTTCTGCTCATACCAACCTAAAAAATATTGCTAGAGCTTTAATAACCTTTTCTCTAATATCTTCACCAAATTCCTGTGGGATTGCTCTAAATCTCAAACTAAATTCCTTCACTCTCAGTTCCAGTACAGCCATATTATCTAGTTCTCTTTCCAACTTTCTGCCTATAACTTTTGTCTTACTTTCCAAAATTTCTACTTTTCATTAATTAATTTTACATATGCATACACTTGTTTACAGATCTTTCCATCTTTTTAACTTCCATCTCCTCATTTAGTTTGACCAGTGTTTCATTTGTTCTTATTTCCAAAGCTGTTGATTTAGTATTAAATGATTTGGTCAATTTAGTATCAAGCTCAGTTCCTCAAGCATTTTTTTTTTTTTTGAAAGAATCCGTTTTAATCTCTCTTTGCTGGTTACTCGAATTATCTTCTGCTTTTTATGCTACTATTCTGGTGGTTGCTATTATAATATTATAATCATAAAATTGTTGCAATTGCAGGGGGGGAAGAAAAAAGCCAGCTCCTCCCCCTTTATTTTTTATTTTGTCTTCCTGTGCCTTTAATACTTTTGTCTCAAATGGTATTTCATAGCATGATCCGGAATTCTGGGACTGACGAAAAGGACATTCCTACTGGGACAGGTGGACTGAGCTGATTAGTGCTTTTGACTGTCACCTTGAAT